AGATGCCCAGGTTTCAGCAGTGGTGCCAGGAGTGCTTTGCACAGTTACAACTAGTGCACCAGCTGCATCCATTCCTGGAGTAATCTGGCCACGGTGACACATGCCTTAGTTACATCCCGGCTCGATTACTGTAATGCGCTCTATGTGGGGCTGCCTTAGGAAAGTATTCGGAAACTCCAGAGGGTCCAAAAGGTTGTCGCCTGATTGTTAACCAGGGCTGATTGCAGGGATCACATAACATGCACCCACCACCACCACACCCCGTTACAGCAGCTCCACTGGCTGATGATCCAGTTCCAGGCACCATTCAGAAGTGTTGATTTTAACCTATAAAGCACTAAATGGCTTGGGTCCAAGCTATCTCAAAGACCGTGTCTCCCTTTAGGAGCCTGCCTGAGCGTTAGGGTCATCAGAAGAGCCCTTCCTCTCCGTCTTGCCACCTTCACAGGTGTGGTACAGGGCCTTCTCTGTGGCTGCACCCAGACTCTGGAACTCTCCCCCTATCTCTGCTGCCTTCTGCAAGCAGACAAAGACCTTTCTCTTCATACAGGCTGAGAGGAGTTTTTAAATACCTCGTTGTTTTGAAATCTGGTGGGGGTTTTTTGTGTCTGTTTGGTTTACCATTTTCAGTGTGGTATTTGTTTGATTCTTTTTGGATATTTGTATACTTACTATTTTTAGTGTTGCTTTGAAATCTGGTGTTTTTGTGTTTGTGTGTGTGTTTGTTTTGTTTACCATTTTCAGTGTGGTATTTGTTTGATTCTTTTTGGATATTTGTATACTTACTATTTTTAGTTTTAAGTTGCTTTGAAATCTGGTGTTTTTGTGTTTGTGTGTGTGTTTGTTTTGTTTACCATTTTCAGTGTGGTATTTGATTCTTTTTGGATATTTTTAGTTTTAAATGATGTAAGTCACCTTGGGTCCTTTTTAAGGAGAAAGGTGGGGTAAAAAATAAAGTTGTTGTTTTAAAATCAAAACCAGCCTAGCGTCCTAGTACTTATTTCCACAAGCATATTAAACCCATTGATGTAAATCTCAGCAGTGAATGGCTGCTAGTTAAGAAGGTCTCTGTTTTTACTCAGCAATCATGGGACCTCCCATGCCAATTTAATTAGAGGCAATGGACTTACTAAAATAGATGCCGATGGATCTATGCTGTCATAGTTCTTCACTTGGGTTCTGTACCGATCTTATAAGAACACCTGAAGTCCTTCTTCTTGATTTGTTACATACTCTTTAGCCATGTTTGTTTTGCCTTTGCAAAACAATTATATTTTTATTTTTCAGTAAGGAAGTGGCTATTTTTTTCGATCAGGAAAAGTTGATATGTGATCTACACTTAGAAACAAAGTTCTGGTTTGGGCAAATCCTGTATTGGATCATTAATTCTAACCTTTTAAGTGATACAATAAAATTATCCAACCTAAAACTTGTTTTTGAGTTGTTGTTTTTTTGTGTATCAATATACACAGCATTTCAAAGTGTATACTCAAGCACCAGGAACTTGGTATGTGGGAGAGCATTTTAAGTATATATTGGTAACTGGATTTTTAATCCATTATTGTGTTCTTTGTTATAGAATTCTCGTCATCTTAGTTTAAAAACAAAACAAAAACCCAAGAGTTGATAGACTAGACAGTATATAAATATAGTTAACCATCAGGGCTCGGAGAGAAAGTGAAAAATGTTTGTGGCTCACCAATCTTTTTGCAGTTATTAGCACAATGACTTCATGCAAGTCACTTTCATATCTTTGATATTAAGAACACTACCAGCAGCCTGCAAGATCAGACCAAAGGTTCATTTGATTCAGCATAATGTTTCCAAGAGTGGCCAGAATATTATGGGCCTGGGAAGCTGACGGGCGGGCTGTTAAGATGATAGCCAGTCCCCATTGTTTTCCTCTGGGGATCTTCTAATCAGAACCATATTTCTTCTAAACATGTGGGTTTCATTTACACACCATGGCTAACAGCTGTTGATAAACCCACCCTCCATTACTTTGCTCAATACTGTACATCTTTATCAAAGCCATCTGAGTGAATGGCTGTTGTCTTTTCCACTAGCGACACCCTTCACTATGGATTCAATGGGTTGGATCCAGATGTAGGCATGTGTAACTGGGTTATGGGATGACATCCCCATTCCCTCTTCTGCACATTAGTCCCTCAACTTACCACCAGAATAGCGGAGGATTAGGATCCTTTTGAATGGGCTACGTGGGAGGGGAGAATCCCTGAAAATAAAGTGGAGGCTCTTTCCATGAGTGATTGAAGCATTTCTATCCCCAGAAAACATACCAACCATTTATAGGTGAAGATTTACTTACTTCACTTATCACAATACAGTGGTGCCTCACTTAGCGATTGCCTCATTTAATGATGTATTCGCTTAGCAATGAGGTTTTAGGAGCGATTTTGCACTCCGTTTAGCAATGTTTCCTATGGGGAAATTTTGCATAGCGATGTTCAGGACCATGCCTCGCTTAGCAATGACAGTTTAGGTCCCCCTGTTTCGCTTAGCGATGTCCGTTTTCGCTATTTTTAAAGTGTCTTAAAATGTTAAAAAACTGTTTTAAATGCTTGGAATCGTTAGTGCACCTTGTAAAACCTTTGCAAACTTAACTTGGCTTTGTTGTGACTCTTCGTTAATTTTTGGTGAATTTTTTTCTCCCCATTGGAATGCATTGAACTGTAGGTTTGACAAACCTACAGTTCAATGCATTCCAATGGGGGGGGAAATTCACCAGAAATTAACGAAGAGTCACAACAAAGCCAAGTTTGGTTTGCAAAGGTTTTACAAGGTGCACTAACGATTCCAAGCATTTAAAACAGTTTTTTAACATTTTAAGACACTTTAAAAATAGCGAAAACGGACATCGCTAAGCGAAACAGGGGGACCTAAACTGTCATTGCTAAGCGAGGCATGGTCCTGAACATCGCTATGCAAAATTTCCCCATATGGGAACCAGTTAACATCATTAAGCAAGGCACCACTGTAACTACCTTGTCATAGGTTCTAATATTGTGCATGTGATAGAAAATATTTTCTGTCTACTTTTTCCTTATTATTCATAAATAATTAATCTTCAGTCTTCATCTAGGGCTCTTCCAGCTGCAGCATTTGTTCCACTTCCTTTTGTGTCACTTAGTGGCAGGAGATTTTGAGATGAGGATTTACCAGGACTCACATCCCAATGGTTAACTGTCTGGCATTAAGGTGCTTCAATGCTGTATTTGCACTAGCTCAATGCCCAAATGATGATACCACTCTGATGGCAGAAAGTGCGCTCTGCTCTTTCACCTCTTAATGAAAATGGTCTGAAGCTCAACATCAAAAAAACAAAACAGAAAAAAACTAAGATCACGGCCACTGGTTCCATCACCTCCTGGGCAATAGAAGGGGAAGGTATGGAGGCAGTGACAGATGTTACCTTCTTGGGCTCCATGATCACTGCAGATGATGACAGCAGCCACGAAATTAAAAGATACCGGCTTCTGGGGTGGAGAGCGATGACAAACCTAGACAGCATCTTAAAAAACAGAGACATCGCCTTACCGACAAAAGGTCCATATAGTCAAAGCTATGGTTTGTCCAGAAGTGATGTATGGAAGTGAGAGCTGGACTATAAAGAAGGCTGACTGCCAAATAATTGATGCTTTTAAATTATGATGCTGGAGGAGACTCTTGAGAGTCCCCTGGACTGCAAAGAGAACAAAGCTATCCATTCTGAAGGAAATCTACTCTGAGTGCTCACTGGAAGGACAGATCCTGAAACTGAGGCTCCAATACTTTGGCCATCTCATGAGAAGAGAAGACTTCCTGGAAAAGATGCTGATGTTGGGAAAGTGTGAAGGCAAGAGGAGAAGGGGAGCTCAGAGGACAAGATGGTTGGACAGTGTCACCGAAGCTACCAACATGAATTTGGTCCAACTCCGAGAGGCAGTGGAAGACAGGAGGGCCTGGTGTGCTCTGGTCCATGGGGTCATGAAGAGTCGGACACGACTTAACAACTAAACAACAAAAAATGCCCAAAAGTTTACACTGTTGTTGGCTAAGGTTGATACATGCGTGTGTGTGTATTTTTAAAAAAACCGTTTGCCTCACTGTTCTTGCATTAATGCTAAAATAGATGGGCATCACATTAACATTAAGTTTTGCCTGCTGTAGAAAAAAAAAAAACCCTTAAGGAGTCCAGTGGTTTAGGCATCTGGCTGCAGATAACCCTTAAGGAGTCCAGTTTCTGCAGAGCCAGAGGTTGAGTGTTCAGTTCTCCACTGTGCCTCGACAGAGGCTGGACTTGATGATCCATAGGGTCCTTTCCAACTCTACAGTTCTAAGATTATTGCTGTTATTACTACTACTACTGCTATGTTGACTATGGAAGTTTCAGATGAAAACTGTTCACAACCTGGTCAAGGTAGAACAAATAAGATATGGAACACACATGAAAGACTCCCATCAATTTATTCTTTAAAAACAAGTAAGCCCCCAAACACTTTACATACTTAAGAGGAAAGATGCCGCGACTTTACCTTAGTTACCCTGTTCTATACCTCCAACTTCAGAAATGGCTAAATACCAATATCCTGTTTAATCTGAACCGTGCACAAAATGGGTTTTTCCATGTAAATCTGTGACCCCCTTGCAAAAGTAGAAAACCTGCTGCTGTCAGCAGAGAGATCTCTACCTTGTGTAACTGCAAGCCAGAGATTGGAAAGCATAAACATGGAGCACCCTGGCCTCAGAACCATTGTTTACTAATAGGATTCTGGCCTAGATATATTAGCAGATTGCCTATAATCTGAGCAACCATTCTTGAGGATTTTTTCACTATGCACATATTATGGGCTGCATGTTCACATTTTCTGTTCAAGTGCATCTAGGTAACCACTTCTAATCCATAGTTCTACATTTCTACACACATCAGTGCAGTTGTAAGAATAAGCAATCCTATGAAAAACCTGCTGTTAAGTAAAAGGGAAATGAAGCACACAATGAATAGTTGAAAGTTTTATTTATATAAAATTCATTATTAAGAACATAAAAGATTGCATCTTAAAAAAGATCTGCAGTTATTTACAGCAGTATTGCACAAGTAAAGTGGCAATTACCCTGTCAAATTTTCATCAGTGCAAAACACAAGTAAGCCAGGGAAACTGCAATAAAAATGCTACATATGCTGGGTTCTATGAAACACATTAGTGATCAATCAGTACAAGATCAGTGCTACATTGATGTTTGTACCTGATGACAAGGTGCTGCCATACAGTAACTAGTGGTCTTTAAACCAGGGTGCAAAATTTCAATCTTCCCCTAAAATTTTAGTAGTTATTGAATAAACTTCAGGTACTTCTTGTTCATGAGGTAACAGCTATATCCTGTGCTACATAAATTGAGGTCAAGGGATGAGGTCTTAACAGCCCTTCATGTAAGCACATTGAAGGAAGAAACAGGAAGCACCAAAAAGGTTGTGAACTGGCACCTAATGAGTTCTCTACATAAATCTACTTTTGAGATGGGATGTTGTGGGCAGCTGAATTCTCTATAGACACATGGTATGTGCAGGTGATTTCAGGGCATATTTATCCTTTTAGAAGACTGACTAGTTCAGAGCACTGCATAATGCATTGATAAATTTCTGTGTAAGTCATCTTCAGTCTCCCCAGAGCTATCTAGAAGAAATTCGTGGTAAGAAGGAATAAATGAGATGTGAATCTTGACCATGTGCAGTTCTTCCCCAATGACAATCCCTCATCCCTGCCTTTACTTCATATTTGATCATCCTAGTAAGATAGGGAAGGTGGCAAGAGAGGTGGTAGGAAACCAAGAGGTTTAAAAAATAATCTAAGACAGGATCAATTATCCCAAACTAGTAGACAGTGCTCTAAACTGATCAACCACTATTTCCATATATACTTGGTAAAATTCGAAGAAAAACAAAAGGACTTTACAACAACTTAAATAAGCAGAAAATAAATATACAACATTTCTACAAGTTACAGCATTATGAACAGTAGAGTGCATTAATTACAAAGAAAAAGGAATCTACAGTATTTAACAAGGTAAATTCTACCAAAAAAAGTATAGAGAAATTTACTTCTGCTACTGTACAAAAAATCTTACATGACATAGTTAGAAAAGAGAAACATTGCACACAGGTAACATTTGGCTCAGATAAAGAAGAACTGATCTATTCTAATAAATACTCAAATATTTACAGTCATTGAAAGGAAAAAAGCACAGAAAGTCATAGTAGACACAATTTCTCTACAAAGAAATTTGGATCTGGTTTCTCCATAACAAAAAAAAACTTCATTAAATGTTTTGGCAGGATTATTTTTAAAAAAATTCTAGAAAAGGTTTTTTTTCCTTTAAATTCCTGTAGGACAAGAAGGTTAGATATATTAATTGACATCAAGATTTAAAAAAATCCACAATGCTACTGAGGACACAGTGGGGTTGTCAAGGCACAAAACCTGCGCTGAACTATGAAAAACCAAATGGGCCTTTTCCAATGTAGCTTTTTAAGATACATACAGATATACATTATAGATTTAAGGTCTGTTAGCGATTTCTTGAAATACAAGAGAGCTTGGGTTTGGGTCACACAGTGCCAATATCTTGTCATTTACTGTTTACGTTATAATTCACAGAATTTTAAAAATATTTATTAGGCTTACAATGAGTTTGCCTGAAGCCATGGCAGCAAGCTAATTGCACTCCCATGTGAATGGTTAACACATATGAATGTGTACACATCTCAAGGCACTGGGCCAGCCGAGCCTTAGAAGAAAGAGGGGAGAAAAGGGTTGGGTTGGGTCAGAAGGCGCATGTAGAAGCTGCTGGTTACCTATTGGGACTTTTAAGCCCTTGCCCTTTCCACAGCAGCTCCTCATTCTTCTAACACCCCATGGAAGCCAGCTCTTAAGGCAGGGTGTCATATGTACAGGTCCATGCAGAAAGTCCCTGGATCCCAACCACCGACTGAATGCATGTAGGGGTATTTTATATTAAAAGGAATTAAAACCAGTGTGCTCCAAGTACAGAAGCATGAGCAAAAGGTTACTCTGAACAGAAATTGCGCTTTGGTGAGTTGTGAAATATGTCATCTATTCACAAATATGATTTTAGACAGCAGCATTGTGGGTCAGTGGTGACAACCAAGGTGAGTCAGTTTGGCTTCAAAGAGACTGACTCACCACTCCGATTGAAAATACGGCCAAATTGAATACAGCATTTCTATAGTTAGATAATATTATTGGCAAACTTCCAACCAGGAGTAGTTTTTTTTTTTTGTTGTTTAAAAGTTGGGAATCAACATTGGTAAAGCTGGAACAGAAAGGGTCTCTTTATATTTCTCTGGCTTTCTGAATGATTTGAAAAGTCACCAGCGTACATTATCTGAGTGAGCTAGCCACATAAATCTATTTGTTTAGCAATGTTTAACATTAACAGGACAGGACAAAATAAAATCCAAATCACTGGCCAAAATAACAAAGGAAAAGTAAATAATGACTGAAGTCTTGTTGCTTAGCATAGTAAGTTGCACTGAACAAGACCCATTGAATCGGTGGGGACTTGCTGAGTCTACTTATCCATAAGTTCCACTGGTTCAAATGGGCTCACTCTAGTTGCAACGTACTTTAGCATAAAAACAACTACATGTGATAGACTGATTTGAATCAATGGAACTTGAGTTGGCTCACGAAATCCCCACTGATGCAATGGGTCTACTTTACTGCAGCTTACTATACTAGGCAACAGGGTTTCACCCAGTGTTCTTACAAAAATACTGGGGCCAGGTCATTTGCAGTGTAGCCATTTTAGCCTCCAGTGACCAGCCTGGCACAGAAAGCACTGCACCTATGAAGAAACAAAACTCCCAGTGACAGCTCTCCAGCAGGATCTGTGACAAAGAGGGGTATCTGTGGATGTATAAGTTACATGCAGTTCCCAAAACTGAAGTAAGACACATGCATGCAATGCCACTCAGGTCCGCACTGTTAACTTGGACAAAGGCATTTGCCTGTTTGAAGAGGCAGGGGACCAAATCAAATGCATTCTCCCATCCTCCCTTCTCTCCAAAAAGTGAGTGGCATGAGTGCCATCCACTTCTTAGGCAGCTACACTCAAGCTGATGTATGTTTACAAATCTGTGTCCATCTTCACAGGACATGTCTACACTAGGTGGAATAATCCCCCACATATCACAGGCAAGGCACTGGAGGTCAGTGTACAATACAATACAGAGATATTATGCTATTGTAGATGACATCTCTCTATATTATATAATAGCACTTTGGATGGCTGTCACACAGCTCAGAAAAGACTATGACTTTTTGCAAGAAATCACAACATTTTAAAGTGGTATGGGTGATACCAGAGAAAAAAGTGGCATACAGTTGGGAACATGTCTCATATAAGACTGAATTGAACCAAGCTTTGTGCAAAGTTTCTGCACCATTGTTACGTAACTGATCATTGGTAAGATAAAACTACAGAGTTACAGCAGAATAAGGGGCACTTACATACACAGAACCTTTAAAGCCAATCCACAAATGAACCATTGTACCATAATGTGGTTGCAGCACAGGTTAAATGCTTGTTTATCTCCTATAAAATCATTGCTACTGCCTGGTTTGTTCTTCAAACTTTATTACTAATTAAATTAGGTTTTACTATTATCCATGACATCTGGCAAGTCAAAGACTAAAGCAATTTAGATTTCATTCCTATTCCACCCCCCTAAGAGTAAGAGCTTTTCAAATGAGTAGATATGCACAGGAATGATGGTTGACATAATAGTAATAAATCAAGAACCATTGGTGAGGGATTTCATGGAAGCCATAGCTTGTTTTTAAAGAAGAGAAGCATTGTATAACTGTGCTCAGGTTTCTGCTTTAACAACATTTTAATAATTTCTCCTCTCTTTTTTTGAAGTTAAGGTTGTAGGCACACGGAACACGGTTGACTCTTCACTAAATTTTGTACATGGTGTAGAATTTACTGCGCTGAGAATTTAAGATCTGTTATTTTAAAAGCAAACGCACAGTCCTTTTGGATGTAAATACAAACCTAAGGATGTCTTCACAAAATGTGATGCAATTTCTGAACATAAAGGAGGGCATGATTTCCATGGGGCGCTCTATGCTAGTTTCTTTTCAGGGCCATTGTGCTGGGGTTTTTGGGAAGTTACAATCCCATAAAGCAACTTTTCCAAACGTTGATCATTACAAGGGCTTCCCAAAAGTCCCAGGACAATGTCCCATCCCCCCCAAGTTTACCAGACATCTATTTTCTCTATCAGTATCCAGATTAGCAGGCAGTTATCTTTCCTGCAATTATGGTCTAGTCCAATGAAGAGGGGGGTTATTGCTCCACTGTCTTCTCCTCTGTTCAGCTGTGCAACATTCAAAGATGGAAAAGTTGTAGTTCAATGGTAGACTATGTGTTTTGCATGCAAAACATACCAACTCCAGTTACTCTAGATAGAGAACTGAAAAATCACCTGTGGAAGACAGTAGTAAGCTAGACAGACCAATGGGTCTTGTTTTTTATAAAACAGCTTCCTGCAATCCTACTGAGGAAAAGTTTGGACAAAACATACAAGGCAGCTTCCTATACTACAGGGGCAGCTTCTGGACAAAGTTGCAGATGGAGTGGGGTGAGAGAGTGTGTTCAGCCCAAAATTTCAAAGGGAGGTAAGGTCTAATGCTCTGCTCCCAAGTTGCCTACGGATCCTATGCTTGCTGGAGTTCTCCTGCTCTTGGCACGTGAGACATGGGCTCAACTGAGGAACTGGGCAGATCTTTCAGTGTTCTGTTTGGGCAAAGAAAGGTGAAAGGTGTGGATTTAAATGATGTTAGGGACTTTCCCCAGTGCCACACACATTCAAAATGGTAACTTATTTTCTAAGATAATCATTCCTATGCTCCAGTCTACACCAGTTTGGGGATTACTGTCTATACCTCTCCCTATGACTTGCAGAAAAAATGTGCATGATCCACCTAATTTACAGCTGCATACAGTATTCAACTATTTGAAATTGCTTACCCTTAGTCCAGAATTTTGCTTTTTTCACAGCACCTGAAAAACAGTCCTATGAAAGCACTGCAAGCTTTTGGGAGCCCCAAAATACAGCCAGTTGCCAATTTTGTTTGTATGAAACTGGTGCTCTCAAAAGAGGAGAAAAAGTTACGTTTGTTTAAAAAACAACCAGTATTTTTGCTAGACAAATGCTTTTATCTTTTGGAGTTTTGACCCCCTGATCAATCTGAACAGTGTGCTGTTCTTGATCTCAAACCAATGTAAAGAGTCAGTAGTCCTTATACATTCCACATTATGGTTGCTAGGTCATCTTTCATGACAATATACTTTCAGAAAAAAGGCAGCAATAACAACATCCAGAATGTTTAAAACACACATACACCAAAACTGGATTTAAAGAACAGTAAAAAAAAAAAGCAGGATCGAAACAGTAGGACCCTGTTATAACAACATGGGGCAATATTGCACAGGTGTAGGGACTGCTTTCACCCACATGCAATGATTTATTGCTATACCGCCCCCCCTCCCATCTTCCCACTTTTGTATATGTTACAGAATACATACATTTGTCTATACAAAGAATATAGGAAGAAACTTGTAAAAGGCAACCTGGTGTCATTATTTGGACCATTAAAATTTTCACAGTTTAATCTCAACTTTCAAAGCAAATTCAAGATTCCTTCCTCTGGGCTGCAAAAAGAAGAAGCTTTGCACAATGTGAGATCCAAACTGGTGCTTACGCAGCAGATGGCTGTAATAGATATATATATACTGCAAACGTCTTCTGTGAGTATAACATACGAAAGGGCACCTGAATTTTAGATGGCACAGAGGATTTTCTTTTTTTGGAGTAGCCACAAATGCCAGTTCATCCATCTTGCTATCACCAGCTTCCGTTAACAATACACTCTTGTGCATGGAAGTAACTAAGAATCAACAGAGGATCTCTTACCAGAGTCTGGCCTCTTGACTGCATGGGAAGATTTTTTTTTCAACGAAAACTGTACAGTAATTCTCAATACAAAACTAAGGCAGCTTTACAAAGTAGCTGGCTCAGTCAATTCTGTCGCAGGATGAAAGAGTAACTTAAATGTTTCCAACATCTTTCAATTATTTTTTGAAAGCTTTATATAGTACAATTTCATTAAAATTTTTCAGCAAGAAAAAGATGTCAGTTCTACTTTCAAATGAAATCCTACACCTCAAAAAAGGTGGCCGAGCTCAAAAAAAATCCATCATCATTGTGTACAGGAAATTTTCTTTCTTTTGCTTTTTTTTAAAAAAAATCCCTTTTAAAAAATGTTTTGAATTTCAAGGCCCAAACTGACTTTGGATCTCTTTCTATTTTTCCATTCTCTGAATGTCCCCATAAATTCAGAAGGGCTCTGGTTAACTGCATCCAAAAAAAACTGTTCATGGCCACTGTGGCTTGAAACAAGAAAGAATCCCAAATGCTTCTTGAAGGCATTAGTCACTGCATTCTCCATATGAGGCGGACAATGTAATGCAACAGGCGCAAAATTATGATCTGATGGTTTACTGCTTGGTAATCCAAGAAACCCTGCAAGAGGAAAAGAGAGGACGTTTTAAATTCATACAGTTATCCAGTATGATAGTAAGAACTACAAATTTACTGGAACTGCTGTGTTTGCATATCAGTACTTTGGATAAGGATCCGGGACAGCTACACCAGGGCCAATGCATGGAGAAGTATCACTATGATACTGAAACACTCCAGCCAGTTATGACAGCAGAACAAGGGACTAGAACTACACAATGAGATTATAGTACAACCTGATACCTCTTACGTGCACCTGAAGGTTTCAATAGTACAGAATACCCAACCATGAACCAGAGGTAGAACTGAAATCAGGAGAACTGAAGATTTACCGTATTTTCTGTGTATAAGATGCCCCACCTCGACTTTTCTAACCCAAAATTAAGAAATCTAAGTGGGGCTTAGCAAGTGTAGGGGCAAAGGGATCAAAGCCCTGCAGGATCACTTTGATCCCTGCTTTCCCCTCCACTTGTTTTTCTCTCTCCTCAGCTTACCTCCGTGTATAAGATGACCCTCAATTTTTAGTCTAAAGATTTTAGACAAAAGTATAGTCTCATACATGGAAAAGTACGGTATATCTGGCAAGGTTAGCGCACATGATCATACTGCATATGTATGACATATTATCTGAAATATTGTTGCATGGTTATGCAAATAGTGTAATTTGTAAAAGCAAACTACCATAAATTAAGAAATCACCACAGACAGTACCTGTTCCTTACTGAATAATGTAACATGACACGTCATAGAAAAGGTCTACTGATATTTCTTAAATTTGTGGCAATTTGTATCTGAAATGTCCAGTGGCTGGATAACTGGGCAACAAAATCAATAAAGATGAATGGAAAGATTAGCTGTTGTCTATAATTACACATGTATAAAACTACCTTCCTTTTAAAAAGCAAAACAAACAAACAAACAAAACAACCTTTGTAATTCAGACCAGGTTTACATCCTGACTGGAGCATAACTTAGTAGAAGAGCATGTGCAGGTCCCAAGTGCATAGAGCTGAGCAGACTTTGTAGCCATCCAGACTTTGTTGGACTCATCAGTCCTAGCAAATACTGATGGTAGTTGCAGCCCAACAGCATCTGAAAAGCCATCGCCCACAAATTCTCTGTTACACATTCACTCACAGGGATTCAGATGCTGCAGATATCTACTGCCTGGGACCCTGAAAAGCCTTTTGTTATTCAGAGTAGAGAATTCTGAATAGGCTGACCTGGTATAAAGCACCTTCACGGGCATTCACTTGTTGATAGCTACATTCATGTAGCAGTAACATCAAATATATTACCACTAGAGATGTGGGTATTTGTATATGAATACCCTTGCACAGGTGGACATAACATGAGGGTCCAGCCCCCTTCCTTTGTTGCTATGCTCCTGGCCTCCAAGCGACTCCTGGCAGGAGGTGAGAGGATGAGCCTCTCTGCCAGGTCGAAGAGTGGCTTGCAGACCGTGAGCTCCAGAGCAATAGGAAAGGAACGCAGAGCCCATGGCAGCAGCAAAATGGTGAGTGGACGGTCTGGCCCTAGGAGGCTGGACCCTTGTTATGTCCACCTGTGCGGGAGCATTTGTATACAAATACCTCTATCTCTAATTACCACAGACGTAACTAAGAGGTTATCATAGCTGACACAGCACACTTCTCTTCAATACAGACATTTTTACACATTCACTGGCCAGTCACCAAGCACAGCAAATTCACATAATACACATATATCTGTGACCCACAATACAAATTAGCCACTGCAGGACTTATCCTGCAAAATGCCTGTGATCTGATCAGCTCTTTTTTTCAGCTAAACTTAGTGGAAGGTTTGTTTGAACAAACTTCCATCTCCTTTTTTGTTAACCCCCCCCTTTCTTCTTGTAATTTTGGGAAAGAGGGGCTAATATTGGTACAAAGGCAAAAAAAATAATAATATTGAGATACATCACAGCAGCTATTATAAAGATTAACAAGATAAAAAATGTTAAATCTTTTGCATACTCAGTGGGAGAGGGAATGCTACATAAATAATACATACATGAAAAAAATAACCTTATTTTTAAATAAAAAGTGTGTCCGTTTTCTAGTATTTCTCTTAAAGATAAAGGCCACTTCAGAAAGTATTTCAGATGTGGCTGTCTTTACTCAAGAGAGTGACCAACAAAAAATACTAAGATGGGTAAAGAAAGACCAAAGAATTGGAGTCACAGAATACAAAACACTAGAATACTTCAGCAACATGATGAAAAACTATTTATTTATTTATTTTGTAGTATTTATATGCCATCTTCCTCCCAGTGAGCGGACCCAAGATGGCTTATAATATTAAAACAAGTAATATGAAAAACACAATAAATTACAAATTAAAACACAATTAAGCTGTGATAATAATTAAAACCCATTAAGTATATTAAATATATAAAAAACTTTAAAAGTGATTTACAAAGACCAGCATATACAGTATATCACAGAAGTGAGTACACCCCTTCACATTTCATAAATATTTTAGTATATCTTTTCATGTGACAACACTGAAGAAATGACATTTGACTACCATGTAAAGCAGTGAGTATACAGCTTTTAGAACAGTGTGAATGTGCTGTCCCCTCAAAATAATGCAACACATAGCCATTAATGTCTAAACCGCTGGCAACAAACGTGAGTACACTCCTAAGTGACAATGTACCAATTGGGCCCAGGTACTGTAGCTGTTTTCCCTCCCTGGTATCATGAGACCCGTTAGTGTCACAAGTCTTAGATGTGAAGGGTGAGCAGGTGTTATCACTCTCATTCTCTCAGACTGGTCACTGGACGTTCCACATGGCACCTCATGGTCATGAACTATCCGAGGATCTGAAAAAACGAATTGTTGCTGTACATAAAGATGGCCTAGGCTATAAGAAGATTGCCCAAACCCTGAAACTAAGCTTCAGCACGGTGGCCAAGACCATACAGCATTTTCACAGGACAGTTTCCACTCAAAACAGGCCTCGCCATGGTCGACCAAAGAAGTTGAGTGCCCGTGCTCAGCGTCATATCCAGAGGTTGGCTTTGGGAAATAGATGTATGAGTGCTGCCAGCATTGCTGCAGAGGTTGAAGGGGGGGGGGGGGTCAGCCTGTCAGTGCTCAGACCATACGCTGCACACTGGATCAAATTGGTCTCCAGTGCTGTCATCCCAGAAGGAAGCCTCTTCTAAAGATGATGCACAAGAAAGCCCACATACGGTTTGCTGCAGACAAGCAGACTAAGGACATGGATTTCTGGAACCATGTCCTGTGGTCCAATGAGACAAAAATAAACTTATTTGGTTCAGATGTTGTCAAGCGTGTGTGGCAGCAACCAGGGGAGGAGTACAAAGACAAGTGTGTCGTGCTGTGTGTTACGTTATTTTAAGGGGAAAGCACATTTACACCGTTATACAATCTCTATACTCAATGGTTGTTGTGGGTTTTTTGGGCTCTTTGGCCGTGTTCTGAAGGCTGTTCTTCCTAACGTTTCGCCAGTCTCTGTGGCCGGCATCTTCAGAGGACAGCACACGGCCAAAGAGCCCGAAAAACCCACAACAACCATTAGATCCTGGCCATGAAAGCCTTCGCGAATACTGTACATCTATACTCAATGCTTTACATTGTAGCCAAGTATCATTTCTTCAGTGTTGTCACATGAAAAGATATACTAAAATACTTATGAAATGTGAAGTGGTGTACTCACTTTTGTGATATACTGTAGGAGACTCAGTCACAGCTTTTAAAAATCTGTCTGAAGGGGTGGGTCTTCAACTGCTGTTGTTTAGTCATCAAGTCGTGTCCGACTCTTCGTGACCCCATGGACCAGAGCACGCCAGGCCCTCCTGTCTTCCACTGCTTCCTGGAGTTGGACCAAATTCATGTTGGTAGCTTCGAAGACACTGTCCAACCATCTCGTCCTCTGTTGTCCCCTTCTCCTCTTGCCGTCACACTTTCCCATCATCAGCGTCTTTTCCAGGGAGTCTTCTCTTCTCATGAGATGGCCAAAGTACTGGAGCCTCAGCTTCAGGATCTGTCCTTCCAGTGAGCACTCAGGGTTGATTTCCTTCAGAATGGATAGGTTTGTTCTCTTTGCAGTCCAGGGGACTCTCAAGAGTCTCCTCCAGCATCATAATTCAAAAGCATCAATTATTTGGCAGTCAGCCTTCTTTATGGTCCAGCTCTCACTTCCATACATCACTTCTGGAAAAACCACAGCATTGACTATATGGACCTTTTGTCGGCAAGGCGATGTCTCTGCTTTTTAAGATGCTGTAGGTTTGTCATTGCTCTCCTCCCCAGAAGCAGGAGTCTTTTAATTTTGTGGCTGCAGTCACCATCTGTAGTGATCATGGGAGCCCAAGAAAGTAAAATCTGTCACCGCCTCCCGATCTTCCCCTTCTATTTGCCAGGAGGTGATGGGACGAGTGGCCATGATATTAGTTTTTTTGATGTTGAGCTTCAGACCGTTTTTTGCGCTCTCCTCTTTCACCCTCATTACGAGGTTCTTTAATTCCTCCTCACTTTCTGCCATCAGTGTGGTATGGTCTGCATATCTGAGGTTGCTGATATTTCCTCCGGCAATCTTAATTCTAGTTTGGGATTCCTCCAGCCCAGCCTTGAATATAATGTATTCTGCATATAAGTTAAATAAGCAGGGAGACAATATACAGCCTTGTCGTACTCCTTTCCCAATTTTAAATCAATCAGTTGTTCCATATCCAGTTCTAACTGTTGCTTCCTGTCCCACATATATATTTCTCAGGAGATAGATAAGGTGGTCAAGTACTCCTATTTCTTTAAGAACTTGCCATAGTTTGCTGTGGTCCACACAGTCAAAGGCTTTTGCGTAGTCAGTGAAGCAGAAGTAGATGTTTTTTCTGGAACTCTCTGGCTTTCTCCATAATCCAGCGCATGTTAGCAATTAGGTCTCTAGTTCCTCTGCCCCTTCGAAATCCAGCTTATACTTCTGGGAGTTCTCAGTCCACATACCTTGTAGG